TCAAATTCGCTAAAAATTATTGTCCACGAGGACTACACGGTATGAAATACACTGAAAATAAGTTAAAATAGCTTAGAACACGCTTGAAAACAGCAAAAATCGCTAAAAATAGGTCAAAATCTCCACAAATAGCTCGGTAATTTTGAAGCCGGTGAAAACTATTGTCCACGAGGACTACACGAAATTTGTTTCGCTATTAAGCGAAAATAGCCTCAAATATGCTTTAAAAACAGCGAGAAAAAGCCTAAAAATAGGCCGAAATAGGCCTAAAAATGGTAGAAATAGCTAAAAATAGGACCAATGGTGCCTATGTTCGCTCAAAAAATTTTTCATCAAAAAAATTTTTCTCTGAAAAAGCTATGGACGGGCCGACGGGCCGGGCCGGGCCGCAAATTTTTTCTGACGGGCCGGCCCGGGCCGGCCCGTCAATCCGCAACCCTGAAAGGAACAGAGCTTGCAAGCGCCCACGCTGAACAAGAAAGGATGAGGAAAAATTGAAAAAGAAAGTGTGTTTCATTAAGAACAAAAGTTCTGCGACTAACCCAAATTAAGGCACTGCGCCGACAATTTTAAAATAGACTACGTGCATTGAAGTGCAAAGTCTAATGATTTCAAGAACTCAAACTGAAACGTTGAAATTTTTACTCAAAATATCTTTGCTTTGTTTGGTGGATGACGAGTGTTGAAAATGAAGATGTCAACTTCCGTTAAACTTGTATTGCCCTGTATGTAGTTTATCCAAAAATTTAGCAGATTCTCGTTTGAAAAATGCACCAATTTCACAAAATGCCAGCAAGCTTTTAATTTAAAGGAGGCCAGATACCAAAAAAAGTTTTCCTGTTATTTTGCATAGAGAACCCCCATGAGGTTGAACTCATGACAGGCAGCTCAGGGGTACAGCGCCGCTATCGGCTGAGCTACGGGGGCGCGAAGGCTCCTGACGACCGATGGTCTACATAACCGCGGCGCGATTTCGTCCCCCGAACTGTCCCCCGAAATTTTTGCTGTCTCGCCTCCTTTAAAAAAGTAATTTTTCAACAAGTTATGTAAAATTTTGGAATTTTTCCTATTTTTCAAAACCCCTATGGGAGGGTTTCTATTATGGGCTTTTTGTTTAGAGTAGCCCTGCTAATACAGGTTCTACGGTAAGATTGACCATCTAAAACACTAACTCATTATTTTCTTAAGGTCATGGTCACCTGATTTCTTTCTGATGAACATGACTTTTCGACGATCAGATGTTTCAAAAATCTTCTGTTTTCTCACGCAACATAGTAAATGTTTCTGAGAAACTCGTGTGACTGACTATAGGACGCCGTTTGATCTTGTCGTTGAGACTCTAGGCTCCAACATCACATGAAGGCGTGACTTCTCGAAACATTAAAGAAAAACGAGAAATCTCGTGAAAATTGGCTGCACTCTTAAGAATGACTACATTCCACTTCACCGGATATCTGATGATGTGGTTGGTTCTATTCTCGAGCTTGACCTTTTTCACGTCTTCTGGTGAATACGCATCGCAAAGCACACGCAGACATTGCAGATGAAAATTAGGGAGATCTTCTAAAATTCAAAACGTCTCGAAATTTGAAAATTTCACTTATTTAGCTAAACCACCACTTCTGAAAATTCCCAATTCATCGTAAATAGCTCCCTTGTTTTCTAAAGATTCCGATGGTCTTGTGTTTCGATTTCATAAATTCTGAACAGATTCCTCAGAATTCCGAGATTCTGGAGATGTCGATGCCGATGCTCCATAAATTTTTATGTTTGTATTTTGAAGGTGGGGAGAGATGAAACAATAATGTTCTCGAAATTCTTTTTAAATATGACCCTCGAAGAGTTGAACAGTTGGGGCGAGGATTAAGGGTGCGGCGCCGCTGCCGACTGAGCCACGCGGGCGAAGAGAAAGCGGCCGCCCGATTGCATACATAAAGGCGAGGACGACAGCTGTACGCAGAGTGACATTAAGCGTTGTACACCGTCACGGTAGAATGCATACTCTGGTCCCAAAAATCCTACGAAAAAATCTCCTGTCCCCCCACCTTTAACGACGTTTGATTCAGGACGATGTTCTGAGTTGATAAAACTAGAAAGTGACTTCTGGTTGACGTCCTCCGATTCTAGAATCATTTTTTTTCAAATTTGCACACTTTTCAAGTCAAAAATCTCAATATATCTCCTGACAATGTCTGACATTTCAGGTAGGGTCTTCAGTTATGAATACTGTAGTCACAACTTGCGCTACAAAGGATCTCTTTCTGAGCTCCTGAAGAATCTGAAGCAAATTTCCATAGAAAAAACACAGATTTTTCATTAACTGTCTCATTTTTATTCAACTTGAATGGTTTAACGGTGTCAGATCTAGTATTACGATGTCATAAGAAAACGATTGGAGAACGGGGTTGCGAAACATGTGAAAGCAAGACAATTTTATCATCATCTCGGTGAGAAAAAACATTTTGGGGGTGAGAACGGAGGGAGGGGAGAGTATTGAGACGGTAGGGGGGGGGGGGGGGGAAGAAATTTTGATTGACGAGATTTAGAAAGTGGTCTCCGGCATTGGGAGCTTGTTGTACTCCAGGAACTCGGTGAATCCCTTCGGGAGATTGCAGCCATCCCTCTTGCATAGGCATCTCATGGAAACCTGGCTTGGGCGACCTTGGACGTGGAATTGAAAGCCCTGAAAATGAACAAATGAGATATGTTTTCAGGAGGTAATTTTTGTAACTCACTTCCTGGAGACAGACATTGAGGACGGCGTAGCCACGGGCGACGTTTTGGAACATGTGGAGAACGGTGGTGTAGTCATCCGAGTCCATGTCCACTCCGTTCACGTATCCTTTGCTCCAGTTTTTCGGGTCCGGCATGTAAGAGCACAATTCATAGACGGCCTCGCTGAGGCGATGTTGTCCTGAGAAGGCGGCACCGGCGATGTTCTCCTCGATTGGTTCCCAGCATCGGATCTTCTTCGTGAGCTGCTCCTGAGCATCTTCGACCGTGTTCTTCATCGATGAGCGGACAGTGGAGGCCGCGGTGGCGATAGCCAAGAGAGAACAAGAGAGGAGAATCGCAGTTCGAGACAACATGGTTCGAGTTCGAAGGAGGAGAAGGGGATGGAAGCTCACAGAAAGGGAAGGGTGCAACTGGAGTGACAAAAGTGAAGAGTTGTGCTCAGAACGCCGTTTTTAAACGAAGGCGGGGAAAATGGGCGGAGTTTCTGTTTGGCGAGCGATGGAGCAGGAAATGGGGCGGGGCGGGCATTGCTCCACTGAAATTTGAACAAAAAATAGGAAGAGAGAGAGAGAGAGAGAGAGAAAGAGAGAGAGAGAGAGAGAGAGAGAGAGAGAGAGAGAGAGAGAGAAAATCCATCTAATTATCGTGGGAGTGCAAAAACTCGTTTCCTAAAAAGGTCTTCTTTCCTTTTTTTTAATTGAGTTTTTCTCACATTATCTACATTGAGCTAATAGGGTCTCAACGTTTTTTTTCTTGGTGGGGAAAACGGGAGATTGTTCAAAAACGGAATTGGCCAGAAAGGGAATGGGGAAAAATTATGAAAATTTTGTTCAGAAAACATGACTTCCGATGATTTGATCTCCACGGATTTGATGCTCAGGTTACTGTATGATTCTGAAAATTGGAATATGGTGACAGGGTTTCAATGGACTGTTTTGCATACCCAGATTCTACATTTCTTCAGATAGGGGTGGAATGTTTAGGTACACATTCGAATTTTCATCATTTCCTTTTTTCGGCATTGTTAATTAAAAGTTTCAAATTCAATTTCAACTATTGTTGTTGTTCCGAAATTGTAATATTTGTTAAAACACCAAGCCAAATTAAAAAAGTTGTGGCGCCACGCCACATTTTCAAGCTATTCTGAGAAATGTTTCAGGAAACTTTTAATTAAATCAAAAGGTTTTGGCTCTAGGAAAAACTTATTGTATTCTCATTGACAGAGTTTCTGAAACACCGAGGGATTGCTCAAAAGATATAAATGATGAAAATTAAAAACATTTTTCAATTCAAACTTTTGAGTTTTACGTTATATGCAATTGTCAATTGTCAAGGTTACAGACGATTCTTCTTCAATTTTTTTCAGGTGTGATTCTTCAGCGATTTTTCAGATTTTCTCAGAACTAGAAAGTTCCAGGATTGTCTCATGAAACATTTCGTTCGTTGTTCAGTCAACACAGGTAAAATGCGAACGGGTCCGTTACGGACGCTTCGCGTTCGCGCGAGGTTGAAATAGGAACCGCATACGGACCGCACGCGAACCGTTTTCAGTAAATAGCAGTACATTATTCGGATTGATCCGTATCCTGTCCGTTTGCGAGCTCCGTATCCGATCCGATTGCGAATCATGACCAAACGGATCCGTTTGCG